AAAAAAAAAAGTGATTTCACTTCTTACTGCATCACTGGACTCAGTCTGACTGTAGTGAAACTGAATCCTAGCAACTCTTATCTTTGCCTTGACACACATTACACAAATGTGATATATGACGCGCCACTTTGTTTACAGTAACTGGTCCCATCTTGTCTATAACACTCATCATGTGGATGAATTTCATGGTCATCACTGTTCTTTTCCTGGGCTGGACTGATCATCCAGCATAGATCTTTAACGACTTTCAAATGCACATATTTCAATCTATTTAGGATTTTCTCTCATCCACACAGGCTCTAATATTTGGTCACATGTTCCTTAGCAAGTTGCACCTCAACCAGATGCTTCTTGTAGTCATCAACAAGCCTCTGACTTTATTCTAGCTGCATATTTAACTGAATTGGTAGAGTTTGTTTAAATTAGTTGGTTTTCTGGCATGAACACTGCTTTTAAGATTAGTTCCCAAAAGTTCAGTAAGGTTGGCATCAGCGCTCTGAAAGACGTCAACATGCAAAAGACACCATATAACCGTCAGCCCCGCTTATTAAAAAGACTTCAATGACTTAGTATAAAGCCATCTGTCAGGAATGACTATATTTCTTTCATTTCATTATTTTTGTTGTTTTTTTGTTTTTAAGTAAATCTTCATGTGAAGCACTTTGTAACTCTGTGATGAAAGGTGCTAAATAAATACTTATTAGAACTGAAAAGACAAAAAACCACACACTACAGTTCTACATCTACATTTTACATAATGTGGGATTTTTTTAATGTCTTTATTTCCTTTTGCTTAACAGCAAATTATGAGTCGAAGAAGTTACTGATTATGTCAAAAACATCCATTGACTGGACTCATAACGTCCAGAGCGGGTGCAATTTGGAAGGGTATTGCATGGTGTCAAAAAAGGCCGAAAAATAGGAGCTTCCATTGAAAATGACTCAAGGCATGCACATCTGGATGTCTTCAGCATTACATGCAGAAACGTCAGAGAAACACATGCTTCCCTGTATGTATCATCAGCTTATTCCTGGAGTTTTTGCCTAAATCATTGTGGGTTTCTTCCACCGCCTGGTTATCTGTGACTTCAAGGTCAGAGCGTCATTATGCAAGCCGCCGAGCCTTACACTGTTTCTGTTTGTATACAATAAAAACAATCTAGTGTAAACTATTAGCCGCTGAGCTTTTTCCCCTTTTGAACAAACTTCAGTTTGCCTTTTAAAATCGAGTCAGGTGGAGATTAAACCTGAATAAATCATCCTGCAAGAGAACATTCGTGAATTTTCTAACCTTCAGCAGCAGTGTAACCAAAAATATGATCAAATGTTTCCACAGTTGGTGTAAGAGAACCAAATTCAGCGATTCAGTCCGACTTTAAAAGCATACTTGACTGAGAACAAGACGTGTGATAGCCTGGGAGGCCACACAGAGCTCAGAGTAGCTTCTAAGCAGACAAATCAGAAAGCTGTCTGAGTAACATTTAGTAGCTGTAGTTAAATAACTAAACCAAAGGTTTTTGGTTAAAGCAGAATAAACATCAGCATCAGAGGCTGATCCCCTCTGAGAGACATCTGGAGGTGGGAGATTCTTTGGGTCTGTTTCAACGCGCCTGCTGATTATTAAAGAAGCAATGACCTTTGTGCTATGCCAGGTATAGCCATTAAGAGAAAACGCCAGGGCATGTTAATCTAAGTAGGAAATAGGTCATGGAGCCACACAGGGACTGGTCAAAGAGGAATGATGACAGCATTTTTGGAAGTGAGTGAAGGAAACAATTACTGGCATTTTTTAGTCCCACAGCTGGTTTATTGTGAATACTCCAAGTCACGGACATGGATTAATGAAGGCCTGATAATATTGTCCTCTCAGATTATTTAGGGTTTCCTCTTCACCCCCTTTTTAATAGTTGCGTGAAAATAATCTCGACGTCGTGTTTGTGCAAAAATACAAATTTGATTTCCCTGCAGCTGAAGCCGAACAG